CCCTATTACACCTTTAAGGATATTTCTTGCCATACTCAGCTGCATGTCCTGTTTATTCTCACTGCTCTGTGATGTCCTTTGCAACCTTGGTTCCTAACCTTGTAGGCCCTTGACTATTATATGTTTCATATGCAGCACAAACTACTGCTGTTGTTGCAGTCATCAGAAGATAGTGTGTTCATAACCATGGAGTGTTTCTCTGCTCCACATTAAGCTCTTAGGAGGACCATTTCTCTCATGGTCATACAGTGGACCCCCGAGTTTCGTGATTAATCCATTCCAGAGAGCCTGCCGAATGTCGAAATTGCCGAATGGCGAAACCATTTTCCCCATAAGAAATAATGGAAATAAAATTAATCTGTTCCCAACACCCAAAAATATTAAAATAAAATATTTTTTTTCAAATTAAATGAAGATTTACATACTGAAAACAATGAGAAATCAAGTACATACATATAAAAAATAATAATAACATTACACTTACCTTTACTGAAGACTTCTGGGTGGATGGAAGACGGAGGAGGGGATAGGAGGAAGGTGTACACTATTGTTTGGAAGGAGAATCTCCTTCCATTAGGACTTCAGGTATGAAGTCCTTATCTGGGGTTACTTCCCTTCTTTGTTTTTTAAAGACACTGGGAGCAACTTGAGAGTCACTGGACCCCTGTTCGCACAAAATAACTGTCTAGAGAGCTGTTTCTGGCATTTCTTTAAGATTTGTCTGAAGTGGGACACAACAGTGTCATTGTACATGTTGCCAGTACGGCCTGCAACAGCTTTGTTAAGGTGAAGTTCATCCATAAATGTTTGCACTTCAGTCCACTTTGCACAAATGTCCTTAATCTTTGAAGAAGGCACCTTCCTTCATCTCTCTTCCTCCTCCTCTGCAGCAGTTTCCTGAGCTGTGATCTCTTGCTGTTGCAGATGAAGCTCTTGCAGCTCTGCAGTGGTTAGCTCTTCCCTGTGGTTCTCCACCAACTCTTCCACATCCTCACCACTCACCTCCAACCCCAGGGACATCCCCAATGCCACAATAGATTCCACAACTGGCATAGGCTCCTTAGGGTCAGCCCCAAACCCTTCAAAATCCCTCTCTTGTACACATTCTGGCCACAATTTTCTCCAAGCAGAGTTCAAAGTCCTGGAAGTCACTCCCTGTCAAGCCTTACCTATAAGGTTTATGCAGTGGAGGATATTAAAGTGATCTTTCCAGAACTCTTAGGGTCAATTCAGTGTCTGAGGTCACTTCAAAGGACTTTTGAAACACTGCTTTGGTGTACAGTTTTTTGAAGTTTGAAATGACCTGCTGGTCCATGGGCTGGAGGAGAGGAGTTGTATTAGGGGGCAAGAACTTCACCTTGATGAAACTAAACTCCTCCACTATTTGCTCTTCCAAGTCTGGAGGATGAGCATTACCAGGAGGCACTTGAGTGGCAGTTTATTTTCCAGGAGGTATTTCTTCACACTGGGGCCAAACACTTCATTAAACCAGTCTAGGAAAATTCTCCTTGTGACCCATGCCTTAATGTTACCCTTCCACATCACACACAAATTACTCTTGGTGACACTTTTTCTTGAACACTGGGATTTTCAGAGTGATACACCAGTAAAGGCTTCACTTTGCAATCCCCACTAGCATTACTACAAAACATGAGAGTAAGCCTATCCTTCATAGGCTTGTGTCCTGGCAGTGCCGTTTCCTCCTGCATGAAGTAGGTCCTCTTTGGCATTTTCTTCCAAAAGAGGCCTGTTTCGTCACAATTAAACACTTGTTGGGGTTTGAATTCTCCAGTGTCTACGCACTCCTTAAACTTCTGTACAAACTTCTCAGCTGCATTTTTGTCAGAACTGGCAGCCTCACCATGCCTTATCACACTGTGAATGCCACTACACTTCTTAAATCTCTCAAACCAACCTTTGCTGGCCTTAAAATCACAAGCATCACCACTTGTTGCAGGCATTTTCTTTACGAGATCTCATGCAACTGCCTTGCCTTTTCACATATTATCGGCTGCATAACACTATCTCCTGCTAACTGTTTTTCGGTAATCCACACCAACAATTACCTTTCCACTTCTTCGAGGATTTGCGATCTCTTTTTTGTCAGCATATCTACCCCTTTTGCAACAACAGCACACTTTATATCCTTTCCCTTCACCACGATCGAAGTGATGGTTGAATTAGGTTTGCCATACATCCTGGCAAGTTCTGTAACACGCACTCCACTCTCATATTTTTCAATGATTTCCTTCTTGAATTCGATCGTGTTCCTCACTTTCTTCACCAAAGGGCTTGCACAAGCTTTCCTTGGGCCCATGGTGACTTATTTAGCAGTTGCAATCACAAAAAACAATTGATTATTATGAAATGTATTGTATGAACCTGCGGGGTGATGGTCACGTGCTGGTAAACAATGGCACACTGAGTGTGAATGGTGCAGGAGACTGGCTTTGTGTGCGCGGTGACAGGCGGACAGGTACCTGACGGTCGCCAAATCATGGTCCAATCACGAATGCAGGCTAATTTGCCAAAAAAACTTGCGAAATCGGATTTACGAAACTCAATGCCGACGAAACTCGGGGGTCCACTGTACTCTGTAATCCTGATCATCCTTCTGGAACCCTCTGGAACTCTAGGTTGTCTAGTGGCTTTGGGACTGTCCTTCTAGACTAACCCTAATCCCTCAGTAATGGAACTGGGTCTCATGTTGTCTTTTTTTTCCTTCAGTTCCTGCTACACTGGAACCCTCTGGCTTCTACTTTGTACATAGTCTCTCACTGTCTCAGGATCCTGGCTCCTCTCTAAGCGCTCACACTCTGTATTCTACTCTTCATTGCTTCTGGTTGTGCCAGTTGTTGTCTGTGTTAGATAAGTAATAATTTCGTTGATTTTACCCCGGAAGGGTTGCCCCAGGATAACCTAAGAAAGTCAGTGGTCTCTGGACTGTCTACTATTTCCTTGGGTTTCTTAATCTTGTCTCCAGGATCACCACACAGTCGCTAACACCCAGTACTATTGCTGCTAGGTGACAGACAACAGTGTAAGGAAACTGTCGAATTTTTCCCACCTGCCGGGTCGACGGCCCTCTTGTGTGAAGCGGGATTTAGCACCAGCAGTACTTCAAATTCATGGCCTATGACCAACACCTTGGGCAGGCAGCTGCCTAACTTCTGTGGCTATGACATCTGGGGCATAGTTGGTTCTGTCCTGTTGGCCCACACCACTTTGCAATTGATTCTCGCCAGTCTGTGAGCCTCCTGCCAGTCAGTAGATACTGAATGCTGTGCGAGTCTCCTGCTAGTCAGTGGTTACTTATCACTATGCATTTGAAGTCTTGCTGGTTCTTTGTGTAGCCTTTCCAGGGTTTCCTCTCTGTTTCCATGATACAAGTCCTTCCATTTATTTTGGTTTTCTTCAAGGATAAGTTGGGATTCTTCAGTTTGGATGTTAAGCAAGTTATATTTTTTTGACTATTGTACACACTTCCTGGGTCAGTGTCTGGGGTCAGCCAGAGGTCATGCAGCAGTCAGGCAGTGATAGTTTGCACATACATACACCACACCTGCTTTAGTTAATTGGTGAGAACCTGTTTTTATTTTTCTCCTCTTACAGTTACCTAGACGAGCATTATGCATGAGGATGGCTTCCCTAGTCTAGAGCCATAAACATGTCCAAGGACACTGTTCCATGCGCTCAGTAAGGTCATGGTTTCCTCGGGTATTAAATTCAACATGACCAAGTCCTTAACAACATAGGGTTGAATGCTTCTTTCTGCCTTGGCTCAGATGACTCCCTGTTATATGGGGTGTTTCTCTGTCACAAAATTTTCAAGTTATGTCAGCTATCCTGGTGGGCAGAGGCAGTGCCAACCCTTGGTCATGTTGATGTCTACCACCTGTAGGTCATTGATGTGTTCCTGGGGAGTCTTGCCTCTAGCTACTCTTGTGGTTCTCCTGCTGTTGCTTATACTGCTACATGGTATTGATGATACTGGTAGTACATGGTATGTATGATGGTAGTGGTACAGGGTGTGTATGCAGTAACAAGGCTGGTGTGACCTCTCAGGCTGATGCATGGCTGATCACCTATATCAGAGTTGTTCAGTCTTGCTCATACAGTCATGTATGACAGTGGGCTGTCAGGCCTGTCATCACTCCAGCTAAATCATGCTTCATGCTGCCTGAGCTAGTCTGTGTGACTGCTTCCTCTGTAATTCTGCTAACATTCAACAGTTGTGTACTCAGACTTTCTGGTGCTGGTGTAGTTTTTGGTGGGCATCCTAAGGTTGTTACTGCTGGATAGTACATTTTGCCTTGAAAAGTGTGCTTCCAGTGACATCTTCGACCTCCCCCACCTGTTGTGATTTGGACGCAGGCTGGATTTTAAGGCTTTGCCACTCCCAGATGATGGTGAGCAAATAAAACCAAATAAACTCTGGTAAAAAGAACATTGTACTAAATGTAGAGCTGCACAAGACCCTACTGGAGCTGAAGGAGGGAGGTATTAAGAAAAGTATCACAATATCAAGTGAGTTACTTGGGACCCCGTCTTCAGTAATGAGTTTTTCCAAATCAAAATGTACTATTTCTACAATGTAGCATATTTCAGCAATATAGACTTACCTCTTCTGTACAGTGCTAAATGATACTTGGGCATTTAGTTCTTTTTGTGATTATTTTTGTCCATACTATGGCATATTCTAAGAAAATTTGCTGTACTGTAGTTGTATTTTTAGTTGATAGAATCCAATTTTCTTGAAATTATTATTTATTGTTATGCTGTGAGTTGTAATTATTTCTTCAGCTGCAATCAGTATAATTAAAGTATGTCTTCTTAGATACAGTTATAATTTTGTCCCTCTTCTGCTGAAGAGGATCCTAGAAGGGGGTTGAAATATACAGATCAATAAATCTTGAGTTTCTGTCTCCATGTGGGTTCTTATTGAGCATTGACAGATGTTCATTACACTTAATTTATTCACAGTTATAATTGCTTAACAGATCTTTGACAGCTGAATGGGGAAAGTATGGTATGCGCTTCAACTGCATAGCTCCTGGTCCTATTGGGACAGAAGGTGCATCTAGTCGTCTGGACCCAACTGGTAAATTTATGAAGCGCGCGCATGAGTATATTCCTGCTGGACGGCTGGGTGAAGTAGAAGAGGTGGCTAATCTAGCAACTTACCTTGTTTCTGACTATTCAACATGGATCTCAGGAGAGGTATGTTAAGTGTTTGGAATTACATTGCATATATACCCAAGCATTACTCTCCAATGTGCATAGATCGACTACTGACATTTTTCCAAATGCTCCTTAATTTTTTTATATTTCTTGGGTATAAGTCAACTCTAGATTTTAACCCCTTCAGGGTCCAAGGCCCAAATCTGAAGTGGTGCCCCAGTGTCCAAGAATTTTCAAAAAAAAATTTGTTATTTTTGCTTATGAAATGGTAGAGAATCTTTTTGTGAAGGTAATAAAACAAAAAGTACGAAATTTGATGGAAAATTGACGAAATTATGCTCTCGCGAATTTTGATGTGTCAGCGATATTTACGAATCGGCGATTTTGCCGACTTTGACTCCCATTTCAGGTCAATTACATTATTCCAGTCAACCAAATTCTTAACTATTTCACTAGTATTACTTCTATTCTATCGATTGAGCACAAGAAATTGCCAAGTCAACTGTTTCAACTACAAATTAAAGTGATCGGAAATTGTTAATTTGGCCAATTTAACACAAAGTTCAAAATATTCCAATTTCAAAATAGGGTCCAGAATAAACAATGTAGGTATTCCTGGAATTAAACTAACATTTCCTCTGTTCATTAGTTATGTTTTGAGGCTTTACAAATAAATTCCATTTTGATTTTTTATTCACATAATGAATTTTTATTCACACCAAAAAATAGAAGATTTACTGTTATGCAATACTGTAATAATTGTATAAATATCATCACCATATTTGTGAATGCATATTAGACCCACCAGCTGGCGTGTATTAGACGTGTGAGGTCGTTTATTTACTCTTGAATATCGTCAAAAATTTAACATTTCTGCTACTTTGAGCTCAGTTTCAAGCCATTTCCAGTGCTAAAACCAATCAAAATCATCTCTACTTCTGTAATATGTCTTCCATTCTATCAAATGAGACCAAGAAATCGCAAATAGAACTATAAAAAACATACGAAAAGACACTGCAAAGTCACTGTTTTAATCGAAAAATTATGATTTCAGTTTTTTTCTCTCATTATACACAGTGTGCTGCAGGATCTGTTTTATGTGGTGCACACATACCACATAGATGTATTCTCTCATCTCTAGGCCCAAATGTACCACTCACAGTTTATCAGAGTGAGCTGAGCTCATGGTGTAGATCTACGGTTTGGACCCTGAATGTAAAGCCATAGATCTACGGGACGGACCCTGAAAGGGTTAAGGGACTTTAAAAGGGTCAAATGGTTCTCATGTGAAAACATTCCAGCTGAAACCTAGAAAAATGTACCAAAAATGTAAAAATAGCACCACAGGCCTGTCAGTATTTATGACTAAAGCAGAAAATACTATACCTAACACTTGATAAGCATAATAATAAAGTAACACCGCAATAAACATAAACCCTCGATATAATGGCCTTATATGGGGATTGTCTATTGTCCATTATATCAAAATAATATTCAAAACAAGCACTTAAGTATCCTACTATATACCTAATATGTATAATACTGTACATATAATTTACAGTTAAGTTACAATGAACATGGCAGTAAAGAAGTTAAAAGTACTATTTACTCAGGGATTTTAACCATTATTTTAAAAGTCCGTTACATGAAGGTCTGTTGTATGGAGACTTTACTGTACTGTCTCATGATATGCAGGTTTTACTCACAACCATTCAGCACATAAGAACAGATTTAGAAAGGACATAAGAAAGTACTGGTTTTCAAAACTGAGTTGTCAATGATTGGAACAATCTATCAAGTTGGGTTATATAAGCTAAAACTTTGGGTAGTTTTAGAAGTAGGTAAGATAAATATATGAATGAGAAGTGTTGGGTTTGATTAGGACCCGAGGTATTGAAGCTAACCTCTTGTGAAGCTTTGGGAATAGGTAGGACATACATGTATGTGTACAGGAGGGCCCCACTTATACAGCAGGTTCAATTGTAGGCTGCCATAAAGTGAATCACCCTTTTTTCACTCTTAACCCTTAAACTGTCCAAACATAGATCTATGTTCACATGCATAGCACTCCAACCCTTATTTTCTCCATTTGAAAGCATATAAAAAAACATAGGTCTACATTCGGAGCACTATGCACGTGAACATAGATCTACGTTTGGACAGTTTAAGGGTTAAATGCAAGTAAATGCCTGATAACATGTTTATACTATCATATAGTATTAAGTTAGCAATAGAACTAGGTATAAAAACAATAAAAAATAAAATGCATGTACAGTACACTCATTACTTACCTTAAAATATTTATAGTCTTAATGTAGAGTGAGAGGTGAGCAGTATTTATGTGTAGGAAGTCAGGTGTAGGTAGCCCAGGTGTAGGTAGCCCAGGTGTAGGTAGCCCAGGTGTAGGTAGCCCAGGTGTAGGTAGCCCAGGTGTAGGTAGCCCAGGTGTAGGTAGCCCAGGTGTAGGTAGCCCAGGTGTAGGTAGCCCAGGTGTAGGTAGCCCAGGTGTAGGCAGCCCAGGTGTAGGCAGCCCAGGTGTAGGTAGCCCTGGTGTAGGTAGCCCAGGTGTAGGTAGCCCAGGTGTAGGCATCCCAGGTGTAGGCAGCCCAGGTGTAGGCAGCCCAGGTGTAGGCAGCCCAGGTGTAGGCAGCCCAGGTGTAGGCAGCCCAGGTGTAGGCAGCCCAGGTGTAGGCAGCCCAGGTGTAGGCAGCCCAGGTGTAGGCAGCCCAGGTGTAGGCAGCCCAGGTGCAGGTAGCCCAGGTGCAGGTAGCCCAGGTGTAGGTAGCCCAGGTGTAGGCAGCCCAGGTGTAGTAGCCCAGGTGTAGGCAGCCCAGGTGTAGGCAGCCCAGGTGTAGGCAGCCCAGGTGTAGGCAGCCCAGGTGTAGGTAGCCCTGGTGTAGGTAGCCCAGGTGTAGGTAGCCCAGGTGTAGGCATCCCAGGTGTAGGCAGCCCAGGTGTAGGCAGCCCAGGTGTAGGCAGCCCAGGTGTAGGCAGCCCAGGTGTAGGCAGCCCAGGTGTAGGCAGCCCAGGTGTAGGTAGCCCAGGTGTAGGCAGCCCAGGTGTAGGCAGCCCAGGTGTAGGCAGCCCAGTGTAGGCAGCCCAGGTGTAGGTAGCCCAGGTGTAGGTAGCCCAGGTGTAGGCAGCCCAGGTGTAGGCAGCCCAGGTGTAGGCAGCCCAGGTGTAGGCAGCCCAGGTGTAGGTAGCCCAGTGTAGGCACCCAGGTGTAGGCAGCCCAGGTGTAGGCAGCCCAGGTGTAGGCAGCCCAGGTGTAGGCAGCCCAGGTGTAGGCAGCCCAGGTGTAGGTAGCCCAGGTGTAGGCAGCCCAGGTGTAGGCAGCCCAGGTGTAGGCAGCCCAGGTGTAGGCAGCCCAGGTGTAGGCAGCCCAGGTGTAGGCAGCCCAGGTGTAGGCAGCCCAGGTGTAGGCAGCCCAGGTGTAGGCAGCCCTGGTGTAGGTAGCCCAGGTGTAGGTAGCCCAGGTGTAGGCAGCCCAGGTGTAGGCAGCCAAGGTGTAGGCAGCCCAGGTGTAGGCAGCCCAGGTGTAGGCAGCCCAGGTGTAGGTATCCCAGGTGTAGGTAGCCCTGGTGTAGGTAGCCCAGGTGTAGGCAGCCCAGGTGTAGGCAGCCCAGGTGTAGGCAGCCCAGGTGTAGGCAGCCCAGGTGTAGGCAGCCCAGGTGTAGGCAGCCCAGGTGTAGGTAGCCCAGGTGTAGGTAGCCCTGGTGTAGGCAGCCCAGGTGTAGGCAGCCCAGGTGTAGGTAGCCCAGGTGTAGGTAGCCCAGGTGTAGGTAGCCCAGGTGTAGGTAGCCCAGGTGTAGGCAGCCCAGGTGTAGGCAGCCCAGGTGTAGGCAGCCCAGGTGTAGGCAGCCCAGGTGTAGGCAGCCCAGGTGTAGGTAGCCCAGGTGTAGGTAGCCCAGGTGTAGGTAGCCCAGGTGTAGGCAGCCCAGGTGTAGGCAGCCCAGGTGTAGGCAGCCCAGGTGTAGGCAGCCCAGGTGTAGGCAGCCCAGGTGTAGGTAGCCCAGGTGTAGGTAGCCCAGGTGTAGGTAGCCCAGGTGTAGGCAGCCCAGGTGTAGTAGCCCAGGTGTAGGTAGCCCTGGCTCCCCATCCCAAACTTAATATACAATATTTAAAGCAGCCCAGAGAGATAAAATACACATACAGTACACTCATTATTTACTTTAAAATATGTGTAGTCCTAATGTAGGATGACAGGCGAGTAGTGTTTATTTGTAAGAAGTCAGGTGTAGGTAGCCGGTAGATGTAGCTATGAAGTCTGCCTGGTTATGTAGCTGCACCTACCTACATACCTATACGATATTTAATGCGGCCCAGAGCCATATTATTGCCATCAACATACCTTGTTCACTGAGTTTAATTGTTTCTAACCTGCCATATAAGTTTGGCCATCATAAATGAAGGGAGAAGTAATGAGAATTTATGCCAAAAATTGTAAACAAAAGCGGAGGGGAGTGACTGGGTCAAACACAGATTCATACACGTTTCTCTGGTGCTGGACCAGAGAAAACGTAATGTTTTCCCTCCGCACCTCATATTTATGTTAAATTTATTGTGCTGGGGGTGTATATATCATGTTTATATGCTATGTAAAGTGTTTCTTATATAATTTTGAAGAAAATATCATAGATGGATTAATGAAAATGTCCATATTAACGTAACATAAGACATTTTATGTGCCCAAGAGTGATTATTATTAATTATCATTAGTATTACTATGCCGTTAAGACTAGAGGGACACTCTTAGTGGTTCTAATGTGTACCTGCATGCCAGCACAGCGTGTAAGTATATTTAGGTACAGGGACACAAGTACAGTGGACCTCCGCCTAACGATATTATTTCAATCCAGAAGTCTGTTTGGATGCTGTTATAAACCGAATTTGTTCCCATAAGAAATATTGTGAATTAGATTAGTCCGTTTCAGACCCCTATAAATACACCTACAAAAGCACTTACAAAAATACACTTACATAATTGGTCGAGTTGGGAGCTGATCGTTAGTGGCGGTCCACTGTATAATTATCAGAGT